ATGTTCACAGCCAATTTTTTTTGAGGCAGGGTCTCACTGTGTTTTCCAGGCTATCTTTGAACCCACGCCGATTCATCCTCAGCTTCCTAAGTGCTGGGATTATGGGCGTGCACCGCCATAACTGGCAACTAATTCTTTTCTTTTATTTTAAAGAGAGTAGTAAAAAAAAAAAAAAAGAACAATAGCAACATACCAACATCATAGACATAAACAAAACAAAGCAAGAACACTAAAAGTGATACAGGGTTTCAAAACAAAATGATAGGAATTAACAGTGGTTGTTATATTACATATTGTTACATTCAACTATGTTGCTCAGAGTACCAGATGTGAGAATGATTGTTCAAATCATTAAAGAGAATAAGAAAAAAATTATTAAATAAAACATTAGAGAAAATACAGAGTTTCACTAGACAAGATGGAAGGAATTCACCAATGGTTGTTCCATTGCATATTGTTGTCTTCAAATCAGTTGCTCAGATTACCAGATATAAGCATGCCAAATTGGTCAAAATATAAAAAATTTTAAGCATTAACTGTTCCTTTCAATATATCATCAGACACCAGCAGTACAGTTATTCCAGATATATATATATATAATTTCTTTGCCTTCCTTCTTTCTTTTTCTTGTTCCCCTCATCCCAGTCGTTCCTCCTTTTGAGCAATTTCTTTCCCTTTCCTATCATCCACTGTACTTTTTAAGTTTTTGGATCTTTTATAATTGCTAATCTTAATGCTAAATGTGAGAATCTGAAATTCTTGAAGTCTTAAAAGGTGTAGCTATTAATTTTCAAATACTACAGGAAATATGAAGTGTTATATTAGAAGAAAGAGAAGGGCAAGGAGGTGCCAGTAGTGAGTGTTCTGAAGTCAGGCTGGCTTTGTGATTTCCTCCTGTTTGTGTGCTGTGTAACTCTGGACAAACGTTGGCCTCTGCAGCCTCATATTTACGTGTGAGGATAACAACAGCACTTACCTTCTGAAAGTATCACAAAGGGAAAATGAGACAATACAAGTCAAAAGCTTAGGTCTGGGGAGAAACTTTAAAATGAGCCATTCTTAAAATTCTTAAAATGACCCCATTCTTGTATCATTTTGATTCATGTTTCTTTCTCTAAATGTTTTTTATCTGTGGAATTTGTTTTACTTCCCCATTAACAGAGAAACTAAAAGAATATCATTATTATTGTGCTCTCTCTCTCTCTTTTTTTTTCTTTTTGACACAGGTTCTCATTATGCAGTTTAGGCTGGCCTTGAGCTCACTCTGTGGCCTAGGCTGGTCTCAAAATCACAATGATCCTCCTGCCTCAGCCTCCCGAGTGCTGGGATTACAGGAATGTACCACCATGCCTGACATTTTATTGCTCTTTAAAAAAACATTTCAGAGATACTAATGAGTTGTTAGGACAAAATATTATTAAATATATATACTGTCTTAATATATTATATATATATATATATGCTTTGTTTTTTTGTATAGGGAATGGAACTCAGGGTCTTGCACTTGCCAGGCAGGCGCTGTGCCCCTGAGCTACATCCCTGGCCCAGGAAAAAATATACTGATAGTCATTGTGATGCACTGTGTAGTAAATAGCATAGAGACAGGGTCAAAGAAAAAAAATATAGCACCCAAAGAAGGAAGAACTAGATAGAGAAATATATCAAACACACAGGTGTTTTTAAAAAGAAAGATGTACCAAAAATAATATTCCTCCATGATAAAATGAGAGATGATACTAGAAAAGGCAGTTGAATTCTTAAAAAACAGTGCATGCTTTAAAAAATGCAAAAGCAAAGGGTTTCTCTGCTATTATTAGCAGAAGAGATATTGTTAATCTTTCCCATGTAATGTGAAATATGGTTTACCTGTAAGTATGGAAATGATAGCGAGTTAATAAATTTAAGAACTCAGATGAGCCCAGTGATTTCAACTTCTGTGAAGTTTCTAAGTTCAGCTCTAAAAGCAGCCTGTGTTTTGACTTGATATAGTCTGTCCCTCAGGAGACCTTGGCCTCCTATTTGAGTTTCACTGAAGTCCCCCAACTCACAGGCCATGGACTCAGCCTCTCACTCTGTACTGATCTGGGGCTTCGTGGTCTCCTGTCACTGATTTTCCAGACTCTCCAGTCTTACGTCCTCAGACACTGCTGTGAGAAGCCCGGATGTTATCCAATGTTATCCAATATCTTATCCAATGTTTTCCTCATACACACTGCAACCAATGGACTCAAACAACGCATGCAAATTCTGCCTCATGTTTTCCATGAATTGACTTCCAAGGGTCCACTGACTGTGGTGTGAAATCATTCTCACAGAGTTCATCTGGTTATTCTAAATCCTTCCTCCTCCTTGGATCATGCAAGTATATCTGCATAAACTCAGACATCTCTTCTTCCTCTCAAAACTGTAAAATTTTTATGGGTCATGATGTGGTCAAGGGCCAGCACAGAGATGAGGAAGCAGCAGGAACCTGGGCCCTTACCTGCTACTCATTAAGCATACAACTTGTGTTTTCCTCTGAGGCAGTCAAGGACTTAAAATCCATTTTGCTATCATCCTTCGCTGGACCTACAGATGCCTAGAAGATAACTAAAAGTAGAACAAATCTTGACCTTCATTTTGTATCCTTTGTTACTGTAAATCTTGAGTCAAATCTGCTCTCAACTCTGCAGAGGGGCATGCTGAACATTTGGGGAATGTCTCTAGGAGCTAGCCTCTGAATTTATATGACCTCATCCCCTTTCAGGACTGAGGATACCAAAATAAGAGGTTTTCAGGGATATTCAGCTACATGGAGGTGCCTCCAGCTGTTATTCTAAACTTGGGATCACTTGGATTCCAGGAAAGGCTGAGTTCTGCATGACTGAGAGCACCACAGACAGACACAGTGCTTTCCAGGGAAAAGAACCATCTGTCAGCCAGTAGGATTCCAAAGCTACAGCACTAGGACTGAGATGATGATCAACCTACCTCAGTCCACCACCTAATCCTTGAGAGGTGCCCTTGAGCAAGGCTAGTCTAAACCCCTGTGTTGGAGTATGCCTTTTCTAGCTACATAAACTAGAGCCTTTTATCTTCCCTCTAACTTCCCAATTAAAGCCTCTTTTTGTGCAGATTTGTGCTTTAAATTTTAATTTCCACTTCTACTAAAGCAAGGACCCGTTCTAGCCAGCAACAAAATTCCCAAATAAATGTCTGTGATAATTCCTGCTGGGCTGATGAGGAAATATATGTGAATAGCAATTGAAACATGAGTGAATATTGATAGATTGGGTGAGTTAATTTTTTAGTGATAATATTCAATGAGCAAAAACTGGTTATTTTGTATAGAATTTGATTCTGGAGCCAAACTAGTTCCTAATCTCAGCTCTGTAACTTACCACTGGGTTGTTCTCCCTATAATTCAATTGTCTTGTCTATTAAATGAGGTTAATAGATAATATCTACTTCATAGTATTATTTTAAGGATTAAATGGAATAATCTATTCACATAATTTTAAAGGGCATGGTGTATATAGAGTAATCAATAAATGTCTGTGGTTGTTCTTATCACCATCAATTTCTTAGAAAAATATACCCAATCATTTCCTAAATTTTCAGTATATCTGATTTAAGTGAGATCACCAAGTTACAAAAGTATAAATCCAGTCAGAATTTAAGTATGCACCCCTTATTCAAAGGTTCTGAAATTGTAAATCAAGATTAACAGCACAGAAATACATTCTTGTTTCTTACAATATCCTATTTTAAATGACTGGACTTAACAATACTCTTCCCTTATTTTATGTAACCTCCACCTTTAGGCGCTAAAATCTTTAACTTATTCTCTGCCTTAAACATGCTGGATATTTTCATGTTATGTAGTCAAGTTGTTCTAGTCCTTAGCCAACAGAAATTTAGCAGAACCTTTCACACAGAATCTCCTTTCTTTCAGTTTTAGTAGAGACATCTCCTCAGCCTTCCATTGGTACATGACCAATACTCCATAAGAGAAGGGCTGGGGTTGTCACCAATGTGTGTTTTCAGCTTCTATTTCTTGTTCAGGGTTATAACAGCTTTAAACCTATAGGCCAGAGCCCAGTTCTGAGGCATGGGGGATGCCAGCACTTAAACAGTAAAAATCAAGGCTAAGGTAGGCTGTATCAGACAGTTTAAGATATCTACATCATCACAGTCATTGCAGTTGGACATTCTTTCTGCAGTGGAACTTTAATGCATTGTGTAGGATTATAAGTAAATTGGACAGGCTTCACCATTTTGGACCACATTTTGCTTTATGATAAGATGTAACAGGAGTCTCTACAATTTGCTTTAGGGTTCAGCAGCATAAATAATAAAATATATTGAGGGAAAAATGTCCACATTCTACAGTGCATCAACCAAAAAGCCATTCCAGCATTAAAAAGCTCTACTGATATCAGACATATCTGTTTCAGACTGCTGTCTTGTAAACTTCCCTTTGGAAAGAAATCATTTGACATATAGTTACTATTGTACTCTGGTCAAATGCAGATAGGGTCTTACAAAGGTGAAGGGAAAAGTAATACAGTGCATTATTCAAGCTAAAAAATAGCACAATGTGCTTCACATAACTCTAATCAAGTGACCCACGTTCTCTAAATCAGAAGTCTAAAATTCACAGAGAAAATTCCACAATCCAATTGCAGTTTTCTTTGATGTGAAGCTTGCATGTCTGAGATGACATGTAAACTTTGGAATTGATTTAGACAAAATGTGTAAAAATCTGATATACCAGGGCTTGGGATGTAGCTCAGTAGTAGAGTGCTTGCCTGGTACTCAGAAGGCCCAGAGTCTGATCCCTAGCATGGCAACAAAACAAAGGAAAAAAAAAACAAAAATTCTAGATATGATGTACTAAAAACAACAACAAAAAGATAATTGGCCCAGCCAGCACAAGTGCAGGAAATTTGAGATCCCACCTGCAGATCACCGATCCCCAGTCACCTGGAATTTCACCTTGGGCTCTGAATGCCACTTACCCTATGACGATACAGGAGATGGCAGTTCCCAAGAAGGCATATGTTAAAATAGATCCTAAGTTTTGAAAAAAGTGTCTCTGGGGAGAAAAAAAATATTTCATAAGAGTACATCTGCATTTCTTAGTGTAATAGGAAATAAAAATAACTGCATGCTTTTCACAGGCCTTCTTTTCCTCTACCATTTAGGCAATTTTTGTTTTTGGAGCCTCATCTCTGACTTTGCTGTGTCTACAGGGATGAAGTGACTTCCTAGCAAGGCACAGAGGAAAAATGGAAAACCTCACCTGGAAGATGACAGAGTAGGGGCGAGACAACTGCCCCAATTAGCTAGACCTGACAGGAAGGGAAGGGACTGGGGCAATGTCTGCCCAGGACTCCTGGACAGTTAATAGAGGAAATAGTTTTCAATAAGTTTTGCTGTACATGTAACATCTTTAGCATTTTAAAAACTACTATATTATTTAAGTTGCCTTTGGTTTTTATTAGATCACAAGCTTCTCTTTTATATGTCTTCTGAATGGCATGAAACCCAACTTTAAAACCCTCAGTGATTAATGAATCAAAACCAAAACGATGCCTTGTATTGGGGCTGGGCATGAGAAAAGATGACCTAAATAAACGCAGCCTTGTAAATCTCTTCAAATGCTTGCTTAGGAAAACTCCCTTCCACATCTTCAGTGAGATGCGAGTGGCCAGCTTTGACAGCAGGAGGGAGCCTGGAGCGTACAGCAAAAACATCAGGTCCGTAATGCAGAAGCTGCCTGGCTCCTGGAAATGACAGGCGAAAGAGAGGACAGCCTGCAGAATCCCCGTGCGGGGAGCGGGCAATTGGAAAGCAGCTGAATTACTTCTCCTCTCAGAAGTCTACATGTCGGGGGCCTCGTTCTGCAGCATGGGGAATGCCGACACTTAAACTTGTACATGAATTTTTAATCAATGAAATGTGCAAGGTCAGGCCAGGCAGTGTATCATCAGGCCAGCATGCAGAAACTGCAAAACTGAGCTTTCTGTGACAATAATAGCATTCTCGAGTTTATACCCAGATGGAGAAACATAATGTTAATGAATAAGTACACTCTTCAGCTCTTCTCTAGAACAACACTGCCCCAAAAAATATAATGCAAGCTACATACGTCATTTAAAATTTTTCTAGTAGCCATATTAAAACAAATTTTAGAGATGAAATGAGTTTTGATAATCTTGTGTTCAAATCAATATATCCAAAATACTATCATTTCTGCATGAAAATAATATAAAACATTATTGTGAGAGTTTATGCTCTTTTTTAAAAATGCCAACTTTTTAAAATCTGGTACATATTTTACACTTAAAGAGCCTCTCAATTCAGACTAATCACATTTCCAGGGTTCAAGAACTGCATGTGGCCAATGGCCTGCGTGTTGGACAAAGTAAGCTTAGAAGAATTTTCACTATGTAAGGTTTGAATCTCTACTAGGTAAGATAACGATATTTACACCAAATAGGCAGTACTTATATTCAGTAGTACTGGTAAATTCTCCACTTAATAATAAAAGAAAATAGTCACTGTATATTTACCTTCTTTAGACTGTATCCTGCATGAAATATAATTGGTGGCAATAAAACATTGAAGAAGATTTCTGGATCAAATGTCATCTGCCAGAAAAGAGCAAAATACAGTTAGAAATATGTTCCTTTAGGCCATTAAAATGTATTTTAAAAGCACAATTATAGTCAGTTTTGCTAAGCTTGTGTGAGGCATGTAAACACTATTAAATTAGAGATTAAAAATAGGAGAAAATAAAAATTTGGAAACTCCTAAGTGTAGTATAATTTAAAGTTATGTTTTAGGGGCTGGGGATTTAGCTCAGCGGCAAAAGAGCCTGCCTGGCAAGCACAAGGTCGTGAGTTCGGTTCCTGGTACCGGAGAAAAACCAAAAAAAAAAAAAAAAGTTATGTTTTAAATGCAAAATTTATAATTTTTGCCTTATTGCTAATAACGGTAGCCATACAAATGTAATGAGATCTCATGGAAGAAAAAGTTTTATCTTTTGAGGATTAATTCTTCATATTTGAAATGTTTTCAGTACATTTTTTCTGATATAAGGACTTAGTAGTGCTCAACTATTTTGGCTTCAGTAGGATTTATTTGCAGTTTTTCCTAAATAAGAAAAATTATAAAAATTTGGATTTCATTTTCTCCATTTTTTCTATTCTGAAATTTAAAATATTTTCCAGCTTGTGGAAAACACGTTGAAAAATGAAAAGAGACTTTTGGAGTATTTCTTTCTTGCTTTTTATTTAAATTTTTAAAAGAAGTTGGCTGAAAAGCAGGTAGGAGTTGGTCTGAAGTACTAATGAAATGAGTTCTAGAAATTCTTGAATCCAGTATCCCCTATATTGCTTGGTGATCTGAAAATAGCATTTCATTTAATCTTCAGAACTGCCCTTGCCTTCCCCACTTCGCTGTATCTGTTATCTTTTCCCTTCCTCTCTGTCTCTCACCTCTGTTAACACACACGCTGCCATTTATTATTTCACCACTAAGACCTCCTCATCATTAAAACACTCACCAAATCTTCCACATGTGTGGATTTCACAACTGTAATTTGTACTTTCTTCTCCATATGTCTTTAGTCCTATTCCACTCTGAAGCTGGATCTCAAGTAATTTTCCTGTGAAATCTCTTTGATCTCCCAGGCCCTGCTCTCTTCTGTAGTTTTTTTAACATGCTGGGCCTTGCTTATAGCATCTGTGCTTCATGGCATATTTTGTATGGTTATTGATTTGTGTTTGACCACTTCCCCCATTAACCTGGGAGCTTATTGAGGATCACAATGGTGCCTTCATCAATTCTGTATAGCCTCAATCCCTCCCCAGTGCCTAGTTTATTGCCTAAGACATTATTGATCCTCCAGTGTCATCCTATCCCTAACAGTGGGATGTGATGGACTTAGTTCATCCTTTCATACGAGGACTAGGGGCCTCTTGGGGACTGGCGTGGTCATAGATTGGCTAACTTTCATAGGTGACAATTCTTGGGTCCATCAGCCAGGGATCCTTGAGTCTACATAAGCTCTGCCCTCTGAAGAAATGAGGCCAGGGCTAGATTTCTAAAATTTAGCCTGCCATATGCACCTAGCTCTGAGCATTTAACATGATGGTCTACTTACGGAAAGAAGGAGAATAGCAGATTTTCTGCCCAGCCTCACTTTTAATCAGGCCTGTGAACTTATGGTTTCTTGTCTTAATAATGGTTTCATCCATATTATTTTAGTTTCTTCTACTAAAAGGTGAATTTGTTTAGCTATGAACTTGTCCTTCCACTGGTAACTGATGTCTAGCTCAGTACTTGGCAGGAATACATTAGGATATATGGCGTATCCAAAACCAGGGTATTATATTATGGATACTACCTATGCCCAAACATCTCAGAAAAATAAGGAGGTCAGCAAGAAGAAAGGAAGAGTTATTTCTGTAGCAGTCTATGTGCCTGCTCTCCCTGAGGCATATCGCTGAATACTCTAAGTGCTGCATTTCATTTAGTTCTCACAGGAAAAACAAGAAAAGTGGAAGAATTCATGCACTTCATCATTAGGCCATCATTCCAGGCTGCATATTAAGCATTACGGATCAAATGGCACATAAATCCATTTATAGAGGAGGAAACAGAGGCTTAGAGGTTTTTGCTTGTCGAGGTCAGGCAGCTAGTAATTGATGGAACTGGGATTCTAGATCCAGGTTATTGTCTCCAAAGCCTTCTTTTATATTTTCCATGCTGCATACTATAAAAGAAAACAGTGACTGGCTAACTTTCATAGGTGACAGTTCTTGGGTCCACCAGCCACAGATCCTTGAGTCTACATAAGCTCTGCCTTCTGGAGAAATGAAACAAGGCTAGGCCAGATTTCTAAAACTTAGCCTGCCATATACACCTATCTCTGAGCATTTAACATGATGGTCTACTTATGGAAGGAAGGAGACTAGCAGATTTGCTGTTCTTGAGGGAATTTTGTTGGTAGAGTTGTAAACAAAGTATGTGGCCAAGTGTGACTTTACACAGTTTACTTCAGTGGCATTTTCTAAAAATGATTGGCTCCTATCAAGTGGGAAAATTCACTTGTTTGCATAAGTGTCAAAAGCAAACCTTTTGCACCAGGATCTGTAGTAGATACCCAGACAAACTGGTGACCAAGACCAAGCTCCTGCCCTTGTAAACTTCCTGATAGCGAACACAGACGAAACCAGTGAATTAACTACCTGCTAAGTAAACTGACCAAGAATCACTCTGAGTCATAGCAAGTACTGTGAAAAAAATGATCAACGTGCGGTGACAGAGATAAAAGGAGCTTGGGTTTAGATATGGTGGTCAGGGGGGTTTCCGGAGGAGATGACATGTAAACTGAGATGCAGAAGCAGAAAAGGGGCCAAGTAGGTGAGGAGATGAAGGAAGAGAGACCCAGGCAGATGGAATACCACATGCAGAGATCTGAGGTAGGAAGGGCCTGCCTGTGTTTGAGGATGTCAGAGAAGGCCGGAGGAGCTGGGCAGAGCAACCAAAGACAGGGGTGTGGGGAGATGAGACCGAAGAAAAGATGGAAGGTGAGATTGGGAAGTGCTGAGAGGTGATTCCAAATGGAAACAAGACCAACACGAGGCTGGAGCAGCTATGTGAGAGGACTTGATTTATGCTTTGAGAGACCCATGTGAGTGACGACTACATAATCCAGGCAGGAGACGATCGTGGTGTGGAGACAAGAGGGCAGCTTCCAGGTACACTGAGACACAACGGGCAGTTGGCAGGTTGAATGTTAGGAAAATCAAGAAAAGAAGAAGCCACTTGTAGGGTTTTTGCTTATATAACTAAGAAAGCCTAAGGTCTGCTATGTAGCAGTGGCTCATTAGTTGTTGGCTTCCTCTTGTTATCTCACCTTCCACAGTTTTAGAAAAATTCTATACCCTGTATTATGCAGGCAAGACTAAACTCTAGTTATTTCCTTTGTTACACTGGTTCGTTCAAAAGCCTGAGTCAAAAAAGTCCCTATAAGTGCAATAACCAACACAAAAGGTAAAAATGATGATTTACCCATTCCTTATAGAAAGCAAACATTATACATTATTTTATACTTAGATAATTAGCCTAAGACTACCAGGCTAATTATAATTTATAATTATGTTTTATAATTTATTCTGGGCTCTTAAAACATCTTCGTTTGGGTCTAGAAATTTTACAACTGCTTTGGCCAGAAGCATTAGTATTTCGACTTCATTTTTCAGTTCCTGAACCTCTAGCTTTTAATATATGAAAACAGATTCAGTGAATATAAAAACAAACCATTTCAGCTCATGATACAGGTTCTTGCTGTTACATAAATTAGCTAGAATGGTTTTAAAGGGTGGACATTTAGGGCCAAGCTGCCTGGATTCCTTGGGTTACATGGCTGTTTAAGGTCTCTGTGTTTCAGTTCGCTCGTTTTTACACCAAACGCAGTAATGTGATACCTAATAACAAGGTGGTTATAACAACTACAAGAATTAATATTTGTCAGATTTTTGCAGAGATGCCTGACATCTAGCACTGTAAAAGTATTTATTACTAATAAAACATGTGCATAAATATTTTCGAGTCTTTGTCAAAAAAGAGTTTTTTCAAGAACTCTTGAAGGTTACACAACTGCTTAAAATGTGTGAAAATTTTAATTTTCCTTCTAAGTTTATTCTCTCTTCTAAGAAGTTCAAACACACCGTTGTTTATCTACTTTTTATGAGGCTTCCTTGGGAGTAAAGCAAGTTGCATATTTGAAGATTTTAGCATAGAGATGTATTCTTGAGTGCTAGAGGGAGGAAGTAACACAGCTGTGATCATCTGGAAGACAGGAACACAATGGCACAAGCTCCAGGCAGAAAATCCCTTGCCTCAGCAGTTTGTCTGCAGAATTCGGGTTAATCACTCAACAAGAACATTTCAATAATCAGAATGCCCCATTTCAGTATGCAGGTTCGCTAATGTGCTATTGAATTATATTTTCTGGAGCAGCCAGATGAAAATGGCAGGCTGAGAATGGCGTGCGGTATACGAGGATTTATTTGTATACACAAAACAGATTTGTGTTCTTTTCAGACTCGCTGTAAGCTTAGGAACTGCTACATCAGAGTTCTGGGAGTAACTCCAAACCCAGACAATTTCTCAGAAATGGCTGGATCTGCCGCTGCACCAACACCCAGATGGGAATTCCACATGTCATTTTTCTCAGACTTTGGGTTCAAAGCATAGTTTCAGAGGTGAGGCTGTTTTCAAAACCTAAACAATGAAATGTCTTCTTTTTTTTTGTAATATAAAGGAAATAAATCTATGTGAAAGGGTGAAGGAAAAGAGCAAAAAGCTAACCATTTTAAGAAAAAGACTTTCATTTGTCTTTGAAGATACAAATCTTATAGCCAAGCTCTGCCCAACAGAAATTTTTGTGACCATGGAAATAGTCTACAGCTGTCCTGTACAATATGGTAGCCACTAGCCACATGACCTATTAATTTAAGCACCTGACCTGTAGCTAATGCAACTGAAGGCTTGAAATGTTACTTGTAACACTTTTGGCTCATGACAACCAGTATATTTATAGATGGTCACCAGAATTTAAAATTTATGCCATTTACTTTTAAAATGTTCTACTATACTACAAGGTGTGACTAATTTGGAACAGACCTGAGACTTGAGATGAAAGCAGTGAGATTTTTAACTATAGAATTCAAATATTAAAGATAATACAGGAAATAGCAATATGCTTAGAATGATGCAGTATATTTTAAATATTACCCCATATATACACAAATATTTGGCTAGATATCATCCCATTATGTGTTCATGGTGATAACTAGAAAAGTTCCAAGACTAGAATGAATATACAGAGTATGATTTCCAAGATCATCAGAAGGTTATAGACACAAAATTCTATTTGCAGCTGAGTATTAAGGTACACAATGACTCAATTTGACTTATGTGAGAAGAAATATCAGTGTTCTGCTGAACTACTAAATAAATAAGCAGTGAAATAACCACTCTAGTGAGCAAGTGTGATTTATATGGCATAGTCCTTCCAAAGAGATCTTTTAAAAGCATTGTTTCATCAATTCTGACAACATTTGTGAGTGGTAGCTGGCAAATGCAGTTATCCCTATTTTCTAGAGGCAGCAGAGGAAATTAATGGCATGCCCAGTGTCAATCAGTGTGACAGGGATATCACTGGGAATTAGATATATATGCATGGGAAATCTAAATGTGTGGTTTTTCAATGGAACACTGGGCTAACATAACTACTGTATGCAAGATTTAGTACTAAGAATTAGGCTTTTGTTATTTTGGCAATTGTCAATGCCTTGGACAAGTAAAAATGGTTAGCACAGTAATGTGTTCGATAAACTTTAATGCTTTATTCATTAAAAATTCATCAGGCCTCTTCATGCTGTAAGAAATATGAAGAAACTATACATGAGACACTCCATGAAGGTTATAGGCAAAGAAAAAAAGATGCTGTAGAATTGCAGGACAGAGGCACAGCTTTGGGCTTCTGACCTTGCAGAAATGCTTGATTTTGAAGCAGCAAACAAGGTGGGTTTTGCAGGATGGGAGAGGTGAATCTTACCATGGAGCACCAACACCCAGAACTATGATCTTTTGGCTTCGCTGGGGCAAGGTTTCCCAAGCCACAGAGGAAGCTATTTCCTGGAGTTTCAGTTAGAGTTGGTAGCAGGTATTTAAATCATTTTAAATATTAAAATAAGTGCAGATGTATTTAAAAATGAAATTCAAGATCCATATGCATGTTTAATATAAATAGGAGACTTCAAAGAAAGCTTCGCTCAGTCAAAGCAGGCACACACCTGAAATTGCTCAAGGGTGTGCGTCTTCTTTCCTCTGCCTTAGGTTGCTTTGCATTGAGAAGAACCAGAGTGAGAGAGAAAACGGTAGACTCAGAATACGTAGCAAAATATACCATACACTGATCAGAGTGGTCACCTAACTTGATGTCTTAGAGCTTGAGTTTTTTTTTCATTTGCACTCTACCCACAAAAATATCTACATCTTAGAGCTGCTTTTAAAGATTAGCTATGAAAATGGATTTAAAATGTTCTGGTTGGTACCGACTTGAAAGAAAATGTTGATGCAATGTTTGGGGATAGGATGCACAGACACATTTGGGAAACAGAAATTGGTAATACAGGGTCCTAAGGAATAGAAGAGGAGGATGTAAGGCATACTGGGTGGATACTATCCAGATTGCAAGGTTTGCCCAAGTTCACTAACAAGGAATTTACATTCATTCTAAACTGAAGAAAACTTAAGAAGTTTTTTATAAGCAGGATTAAATAATAAAACATCTCTTGTCAATATAAATTTGTACAGCTTCTAAGAAGAGTAATTGACAATAGCTATCAAAATATTAACTGTCTCTATCCTTAGATTCAGCCACACTTACTCAGTGAATTTTTCCTGAAAATATACTTGTATATGTGTGGAATGATATAAGGGCAAAAATATTCCTACCATCTTGTCTAGTGAAACTCTGTATTATCTCTAATGTTTTATCTAATAATTTTCTTTTATTCTCTTTAGTGATTTGAACAATCTTCCATTCTTACGTCTTGTAATCTGAGCAATGTAGTTGAAGGTAACGATATGTAATATAATAAGCACTGTTAATTCCTATCATTTTGTGTTGAAACCCTGTATCACTTTCAATGTTCTTGCTTTGTTTTTTTTTTTTTTTTTTTTTTTTTGGTTTTTCTCCGGTACCGGGAACCGAACTCACGACCTTGCGCTTGCCAGGCAGGCGCTTTTGCCGCTGAGCTAAATCCCCAGCCCCCAATGTTCTTGCTTTGTTTTGTTTATGTCTGTGATGTTGGTGCACTGTTGATCTTTTTTTTTACTACTCTTTTTAGAATAAAAAATATAAATAAATAGCTACTGAGCACAGAAAAAAAACAAAACAAAACAAAACAAGATGACATCCAATCAGACAGGACAGGGATATCCAATCCAACAAACAAGGGAGAATGAAAGTAATAAAATACCTCTGGTGCTTATAAAAAAAATAAGCATTCATTGTGGATAAAAGGATTGGAAAGAAAACAAAACAAAACACTTAGGATGATTGGACTCTGGACTAGTTAAATATATTGTAATATACCTCATAACATAGATTCCCAGAAACTTAGAAAAGTTGAGGAAACTGTCCATGAATGATGTGACTGCTCTCTAAAATTTATTGGGAAGTCAAAAAGCCAAAGTGCAGAAAGCACATCTGGCATGGGAGGCCAAAAGTGCTATGGGCTCACACGCTCCATTTCCTTTTTTCCCTGGCCAGACATGTTGACATTTCCTTACTGTCCAGTGGGGCCATAAGACTGGCCAACGAAATGTGGACGGAAGTGATACCCACCCCTTCCAAGCCAGTCCTCTAAAAATTCCCCTCATCTCTGATGGTTGCTGTTTTTCTTCCTTTGTCAGCCCATGTAAACATCTAGCAAAGGTTCCTAAAACATTCCAGAGCAGGCTTACGATTTCACCTTGTATTTTGTATCTCTAGCTTCCTGACCCCTGTACCTAGTGACCTGATTTGCAAATCAGGTAGACAAAAGAGTGGATTTTGAATGAACCCTGCAGATTCCAACATACTTTTTTTGAATATTTGGTACATGAATCCATGTAGCTATATTACCTGCTTATAAAATATTTTTCTTATGTAAAATGATGCCATAGGTAGATTAGCTTTCAAGGAATTCAAGATTAGCTTGAAGAGAAAACTTTTTCAGCCAGTAGTTAGCAGAAAGAGAACAAAATAATGTTAATGTACAAGAAGTGGCTATGCTAGAAGAGAAAGAAAGAAACCCAGAAGACATGAAACACTGTATTTACTTCAAAAACACAAGGTGTATGGTAGGGAGGAGTGGCCAGGCTGTCAGGTGAAGAACGAGTTAAAAAAACTATGCTTTGATAGCAAAGGATCAGGTGAAGCAGATGGAAGCAAACACCTTCCAGGGGAGTCCAAATTTCAACAGAAACTAGCAGAAATGGCATCTACTAGAACACAAATGCAAAAGCAGAAAATGAATGATAGTATGAATACCTCAAACAAGGAAGAAAAATGAGACTTTCATGAACATGGTGGACATCGTAGACATCTCTTGTTGCATTTTCCCTCATGGATGTGACTGTACAATTCTCCCAGGTTCTGTTTGCAGCTGCATGTAATATGTCCAGCTCTTTTTGTAGAATAAAATGTGAGAGGCAAATTGGATATTTGTGTGGGTAATTCCTAAGCTACTTGCATTGTATACATATGTTGTTATACAAGATTGAAAATCTTGTGTAATCCTGCCATTTAAAAAGTTGCAAGAGATAATGTTTGCATTTCTAAACATTAAAGTTTCTGTGCTTTAAAAAATGAAAACCCCCAGAGAGTCTATTTTTTTTAAACAGAATAAAAAAACAAAATAACAACAACATAGACAAAAACAAAACAACACAAAAGCTATAAAAATGATGCAGGGTTTCAAAGCAGAATAATCAGAATTAACAGTGGTTGTTATATTACATCTTGTTATCTTCAGCTAAGTTGCTCACATTACCAGATGTAAGAATGCAAGATTGATCAAACCATTAAAGAGAATGAAAAATAATTTTAAAAAGCATTAGAAATGATAGAGCTTCACTAAACAAGATGATGGGAATTCACCAGTGGTTGTTATACTGCATATTGTTGTCTTCAAATTAGTTGTTCAGAATACCATACATAAGCATGCAAAATTGGTCAAAAAACATTTAAGCATTAACTGTTCCTTTCCATAAGCCAATAGACATCAGCAGTACAGTTATCCCAGCTATCTTTCTATGTACATATATATTTTTTCCCTTTCCTCTTTCTTTCTTTTTCTCCTTGTCTTCAAATTAGTGGTTCATATTACCAGATATAATCCTGCAGAATTGGTCAAAAAAAGAAAAATTTAAGCATTAACTGTTCCTTTCAATAAACAGACATCAGCAGTACAGTTACCCAGCTATTTTTGCATATCCATATATATTTTTTTCCTTTGTTCTTTCTTTCTTTTCTCCTTTCCCTCATCCCAGTTGTTCCTTCCCTTTGAGCCACTTCTTTCCCTTTCACAATATCTATTGTACCTTTCGGGTTTTGTTTACTTTTTCAGGTTCTTATACTATGGAGACAATAGGATGTTTACACATGTGGTTCAGATTTATTTCACATAGGGGTATGGTCTTTAGCTGCATCCATTTACCTATATAAGCCTCCAGTTTATCTTTCTTCATAGCTGAGCCTATGGTTTTGCACCTGGTGGCTGACTGGGAAAATCCGATTGGGGAGGAGCTGATTCAGCAAGGGTAGGAGGGTCAGAAAACCTGAGGGCTACTAAGGCTACAGCTCAAAAAGTCCGAGGTGTCTGTGACACACTAGCAAAGATATACTGGGCAGAAAAGTCAAGGCCAAGGAGAAATGCCCGGAATCTTCAGCATGGAAGGCGTGCTGTGCTGAATACAGGCAGGATCTCTGGGGAGTAGGTGCCACAGAAAAGAGGACCAAGGACAAAGCTGGCGAAGGCAAGAAAAGGTCAAGAACAAGCGCACTTCCAGGAAGGGAGAGGATGAAGAACAGAGAGGACAGTTTAGGGCCAAAGGAAACGGGGAAAAGAGGAGCAACCACAGGACCCGCTGCTCCCTGCCGTAGGGTGCCGGGTTTAGCAAATGCAAGCGTAATGAGCAGTGAGAACGGAACTTCAGACGGATAGCACGTACTTTTTAGAGTACTTTCTCAGTGCTGTATCTGGGGCATACATTTTCCCAATTCTTCATTATGTATCTGAAATTCGATAAAGACAGATGGCGCAAGAACGCCAACTCCTAAAATAAACCTGAGCTTTTTACACTCGGCCGGTCTGGATGGACGTCACCCGGGGAGAAGCTGACTCGACCCTAACCGGATATCGTTACTGAAGAAACAGCCCCTGAGAACCCGGGAGAAATGCGTTGGATTTTATCATTTGGAAGTGTGTACTGATCCTTTCTGGCTGACTTCAACAAAGAAGTGAGTACCGGAGATGAAGGGGTGAGAAAGGAGTTATGCGGGGCAGCCCCGGCTGCTCGGTGGGGCAGGTGAGTGGGGCGCTCTCCAGGGACCCGAGAAATGCCTTCTGGAAGGGAAGGAGGAAAGGAAGTAAGGGGAGATGAAGGGACAGAGGGTCCAAGAAGGAAGGCAGGCGTGATCGAGACAGGCAGCGGTAACAGCGAAATGTTAAATAAACTTAATTAAGACCCTAAATAAGTTTAGAGAGTTAAAGAAGTGATCAGAGTAATGTATGTATTTATACTATATTGTATTACCTTCTGTTCTATTATATTACATTATCTTATATTTAAAATGAATTAATGTTTTAAACAATGAAGTAAAACATTGCTCAGGCAGCAGGAGTGGGTGTTTTGCGCTGGGGATCAAGCCACGCGCTGGTCCAGCACTCCATCACTGAGCAGTGCCCCCAGCCCTTCAAACAAATCGTAAACATGTCACAGTTGAAATTCCTGTCTCTTTTCCTTTCCAAGAAGTAACAGATTTCCTAAAATTGGTGTCCTTTCCCTCCATGATGGTATTCTTATACTTCATATGTATGTGTCAACAAACAATAACTGGTATTATTTGTACATATATTTTACTTTTATAGAAATTTAATAAATAATTTTGTATCCTGATTTTGACATGCACCTTCATTTGAGATTTATCAATAGAATATACATGTAGATCTTGTCCATTCAGTTAAACTACTGTGCACTGTTCTATTGGATCCAAGTATCAAGATTTAGTTTTATTTTTCCCCTTCTGTTTAATGTGCACTTAGTTTGTTTCATATTTTCTGCCATTAGTAAAAATACTGCATTGGATATGTTTATCCTTAACTCTTTGTAGACATGTGAAAGTTTCTCTACAAGTGTAACTTGTATTATAAGGTATACAAATCTTCAATTTTAGTCAGTATTGTCAATTACTTTAAAGTAGTTTCACCAACTTGTACTCCCAGCATAGATTATTATTGTAGTATTTCTGCAGTATTTCTATACTACGAGTCAACACCTAATATTGAAAAATATCTAAGTTTTGGTAAGCTGATAAGGTACAAAATGAGAGCACACTATTGGTTACGTTGTGTTTCCCATCACTTGGGCACATTTTGCCTGTTTATCAGTCTTTTGTTACAGCTCTTTTCTAAACTTTCTAGTCATTTCTTTCACTCAGTGTGATGTTTTCTTTTTGATTAGCTCCTTATAGTCTGGCTATTATTCAGTTTTTGCTACTTAAATTTCAAGCGCATCTTTTTCATTCTCATTATTTTCTTAAACTTTTAACTTTGTTTATGACTATTTCCTTTCCATACCAAAGGTTTTAACTTTAATTTTGTAAAGTGTATTTATGTTTACCTTATTTTTTGAGCTTTTGGTGGTAGCTTTAAAATTCTGTTTACTATTCTGATGTTATAAATATATTAATTCTTAAATTTTCTAATTTTTTTAAAGTTAGGCCTTTAACCCATCTCCACTTTATTTGTTCTATGAAATAAGGTAGGGATTTAATCCTTTCTCTCACATAGGTATAGCAAATTGCTCCAGAAATGTTCATGGATCTTTCATAGGTCACCTGTTTCTTCTGGGTTTCATTGATGTTCACAAACAAAACTAAATTACAGAGCACAATAACAGAACAATGTGGAGAAAAACAATGGAAGTGAATGAGCAATTGTGAGACTATAATGCCATAGAACTGATTTTTTCCAAGTAATTAAAATTATAGAATTTAGAAATACACCATTGTAAACCCTATACCTTTAAAAATGACACATAAAAACACTGATATTTTAGTGGAGAGAGGTAATGGTTGCAATTCCAGGCAAAAATTAAGTGAAGATTTAAGATTGAAACATTTTCAGACTTCTAAATATTTAACTTGGCATCACGGAATTGAAAGAACATTGAAGTAGGCATCAGAACATGTTGCCTTAATTCAAGTTCTGCAGCAGATCAACCTTGACCAAGTAATTTAAGTTTCCTGAACCTAATATGGGATAATATCTGTTTGCTCCTGGAATTACGATCAGATTGAGACAGACCAGGGAATAGTAAAAGCCTTTATAAATAATAAACCACCACAAAAAAGAAATGTATTGTCATTGCTAAAATTCAGGATTTACCTTCTTCACTTATAACCTGGTAATTTTGCTAGTTGTCAATTCATCATCATAATGATTATAACAAAAATAACAACTGATATTACCATGATACTGCTAAAATTTTAAAATCAAGATCTCACTTTTTCTTCAAAAAGCCCTTTCAGTACTGTGAGCACCCCTTTCTACAGATGTGGAACCAAAGCTGTGGTATGTGACTTACTTAATTTGTAAACAACAAGGCCTAGGTTCAAATCATAGCTTTTAATTGCAAGTCTATTGCTTTACTGCTCACATAATGACAACAAAGCCAACGGCTGACATGCTTTGAGCACTTAACTATGAACCGTATTTTTTCACTTGCAATTCACAATGGCCCCTATCAAGTAATTAGGAATATTGTACATTACAAATGGAAAAACTGAAGCTTAGAGAGGTTAATTATAATACCCAGGATCACACAACTATTTTGCAGCATTCAAACAAGTTATGAGACTATGGATTGGCCTCTAAACCACAGTATCATTTTTTATTTTAAAAAGAATAAAAAATAGAACAATAGCAAAATACCAACAACATAGACAAAATCAAAACAAAGTAAAATCAATAAGAGTGACACAGGGTTTCAGAGCAAAATGACAGGAATTAACAGTGGTTGTTATATTACATATTTTTTATCTTCAACGAAGTTGCTAAGATTACCAGATGTAAGAATGGAAGATTGATCAAACCGTTAAAGAGAATAAAAAACAAAAACAAAAAATTATAAATGATACAGAATTTCACCAGACAAGATGATAGGAATTCAGCAATGTTTGTTATATTGCATGTTACTGTCTTCAAATTACCAGATAGAAGCATACAAAATTAGAAGCATACAAAATTGGTCAAAAAATAAATAAAGCTTTAACTGTTCCTTTCAATAAGACACTACGCATCAGCAGTACAGTTATCCCAGCTATCCTTCTGTATATATACTATATATATATACAGAATATATATATTATATATATAATATATAGAGAATATATATATTTATATATAGAATATATATAGATACAGAATATATCTATATATATATAGATATAGAATATATCTATATATATATTTCCCTTCCTTCTTTCTCTTTCTCCTTTCCCTCATCCCAGTTGTTTCTTCTTTTGAGCAGTTTCTTTCCCTTTCATATTATCTATGTGTAAGTTTTGGGTTTTATTTACTCTTTCATGTTCTTACACTGGGGGGACAATATGATGTTTACACATGGGGTTCTGATTTACTTCACTTATGAGTATGGTCCTAGTTGCATCCACTTACCTATAAAAGCCTCAAGTTTATCTTTTTTTGTATCTGAGCAATACTCCATTGTATAAAAATACCACATCTTTCTTATCCATTCCTCAGTTGATGGGCATTTGGGTTGTTTTCAAGATTTAGCTACGATAAATTGCGCTGCTATAAACATGGGTGCACACATATCGCCGTGGTATGGTGTTTTTAATTCTTCTGGGAAAATTTCCAGAAGAATAGCTGGGTTAAGTGGGGCCTGTAGTCCTACTTTACTGAGGAATCTCTACCCTGATATCCACAGTGTAAACCACAGTATCTTAACTACCACGCATGAATGGATTCAGGTCACCCATTCCACTGCTGAATATGTCTTTCATTGGCTGCAAACACAGAAAAAAATGCTTAGGTCTCTCCGATTATTGCCATGACAGCAAGTCACCTATGGCTAGAAAGTGTCTCCTGTGTTTCCCAGCTTGAACTCGCTTCCATTATCTTTGCAACAGTGACCATACATTCTGGTTTGGAATATAGAACAGGTCCAGGTAAGGCCTGTTGCCCTTGACTAATCATTCATAACTTTCCCCTTTGTTCTCAAGTCCCTGGTTATAAGGCAAATGCTGTGGCTTCCTATTCCGGACTCTAGATGCCTGCCTCCTCTTGACTGGTTGCATACTTGGATTCATTGCTGCTGGCCTCTTGCAGGCCTGTTCTTCATGTGGAGAGCCCCCTGCCACCCCCCATTAGCTGAAATATTGACATAACACTGTGACTCTGTTCTCAAACTGACATGATATCAGCAGGAGAAGAGAAAATAACAGATGGAGGTGAGAAGGGTCCCGTCCCCATCTCACAAAGACCTATGCATTCCAGGGACCCAGGCATCCAGTACAACTGAAATTCCGGGCCTTAGGAGTGAGTTCCTCTTCCTAACTCTGTAATTGATAGTAATGTTGCCCTCACTTTATATTACAGGCAAAAGATACTAGCTTTCTATCATCTCAGAACACACAAGGAGAATCCCAGGCCTAGAGTTTCCTTGACTTTATAATTTGTTTTTGAGTTTGCATTATCTCCATGAAGCCCCAGCTGTGAGGTACGCATGCAGCTTTCCCATCACATGGCCACTCCGGGGAGCAACGGGCCTGGAGAAGCTGCCAGGGAAGAGCTGAGGCAGCAAGGACCACGGTCAGAGCAGGGGGTGGCTGTGGGGCACAGTGTGCACTTGAGGAGACTGGAGGGGTCTGGAGGACATTGTGAAATCAGCAGAAAGTATGATTTAAAATTAAGGTGAATATTTTTTTAATGGATACAACCATCTTTAAAAACAGTGCAATAAAAAAATAGAAAAAACATCAATCAGACTTCGTACTCCAAGGGGAAATCCATGCCCATCAAGACCAGATGTGATTGTAGAAGGGAAGAAAGGGGGCTGGGGATATAGCTCAGTGGTACAATGTCTGCCTGGCAAGCACAAGGTCGTGAGTTCAATTCCCGCTATCCCAAAAAAATAAAAAAGGGGAGAAGGAAGCAGACTAATACTTACAACACCCTGGACATTGAATATAAGTTTCCCTGTTTTATTCTATAA